AGAGGAGCAGAATCTCTAGGATGGGACCTGGAAATCAGCAATTTGTAAGGTCCACAAGCGGCATGTGCCTCACTTTGAAAGTCAATGTGGCATGCAGCTAGCTTCACCTAAGGTGAGATGGCCCTCCTGTCCTGGGTGTGGGCCAGCACTTTCTGCATTCTGTGGCAGAAAAAAATGCAGCAACTGTTTTATCTTTCTTTGACCTTTCTAATAGAAGGACAAACTTCTAGTTTCACTTCCAATCTTGAAAATGCATAAAATAATCCTGCTCAGATGAAATTAACATGAAACTGAGACTATGAATTTAAAAGAAAATCCTCAACTTAAACGAACAAGATTTCCCAACCAAAAATCTCTCTTGGCTGCAAAATTAGTAGACAAGATTCTCACCAAAGATAAAGCTATATCTGAAGGAATAGTTTACTGTGTGCTCCCTCCTCCCCCAAATAACTCCAGCAAAAGCCTGTCCTGGAATTCCACTGCTAACAAGCACCGCTTTGTGTCTGGAGGTCTTTGCTTCAACAGAACCTCATTAAAACTCACATCAAAACAGAAAGTACAAAATCTCTGTGGACCTCTCGAAGCTCCTCCCAACTTTATTGATAGGAAATAAATTATCTAACTAAGTTCAGTTGTGTCCAAAAGAAAGTGATTTTTGATTTGGTTGTTTCTGTTTTAATTGCCAGAAATCAGTCACCTGATTAGTCAAAGAGGAAGAGATGTTCAGGCTGGTAAAGAGCTCTGCCTCTTCTTCAGCTCTCCAGATTTTCCTAGAAAGGACAAGAAATAGCCAACAGTCACAGGGATGCTCATCAGGGGCTTCCTAAGGAAAGCAGGAGTGATCTGAGGTTCCACCAGGGAATGCAGCTCTTGCTGGGACTTCTGCTGACCCTGCCGTGAAGGGGAGTGCTCTCTGAGAGCAGATGGTCTAATGATGACTAAGACTGGGCTCAGAACGCCTTGTATAGTTATTGCCCCAGCAGACACCACTAATGTACCAGCTAACAGAGGGAAGCCAGGCTGAGACTAGAACTCAACCAATATACTTTATAGTAATGTGTAGGGAGTGAAGATCTGCATTATATAGTTAGCAGTCAGTATTTTAGGCAGCATGACTCTGGAGTCCAACATCCACAGGCTGGGCTTCTGAATACTTCCCTTTTCCATGGCAAAAGCAATCCTGGCATTTTCAGCAAAGTAGGGAGCCATTTTCCTGCTTGGTTTCCAACTTACAGAAAGAATCATAAATTGGAGTCCCAGGTATTAGTAGCAAATGGCTAGCTAAGCCAGGGGCCCCAACATACTTACCCAACCTCCCTGGCCCTGGATGAACTCCCGGATGGCGCCATTCCCATTGATCATGTCTGTCATGGGGGTCGCCACCTGTCTTGCCATTTCTGGAGCTAGGCGGATCACACATTCAAGCAGTTTCACTGAAACTGCCAAAAAGGCTCTCTCATAAGCTAAGCTGGAATTCTGAGCACACCAGGCCTTGCTGAGAGATTTTACTGTGTTCTGAAGGACAGCTCCTACCTGGGGAGAAACATAGGATATATCAGTGGAGTTTCACTAAAAAGTGCAGGAGTCTGCAGGTACATAATCTAGTAAAGCAAGTGTTCCCCAGAGAGCAGCCAATGTCCACTGGTTGTATCTAAAGTAATGTTAGGGAGTAAATGGATAGGCTTTTCTCATTTTAATATTTTATTTATTGTAATGACTATTAGAAAAACCAGAAGTAGCTCATCAAACCCATGATTTCAGATATTATTGCATAGGATGAACCAAATAATTGAAAGAGAGACAAATGCTTTGAAAGAAAATTATTAAGTACATGATAGTACAGCTGGTCATATTGTTTGAACGATTGAAGTCTGGGAAGTTACAAAGTAAGAAAAAAAAAAGAGTAGTCTTCCCAAAAAAATTTGGTCCAAAAGCCATTAGGTAGGCCTAGCTGGTTTGGCTCAGTGGATAGAGTGTCAGCCTGCGGACTGAAGGGTCCCGGGTTTGATTCTGGTCAAGGGCATGTACCTTGGTTGCAGGTTCCCCGGCCCTAGTTGGGGTGCATGCAGGAGGCAACCAATTAATGTGTCTCTCTCACATCCATGTTTCTTCCTGTCTTTCCCTTTCCCTTCCACTCTCTAAAAATAAATGGAAAAATATTCTTGGGTGAGGATTAATAAAAAAAAACAAAACACAAAACCATTAGGTAGGGCCAAGCAAGATCTATTGCAATGTGGTGTAGAGGGAGGGGGCATGGCCATCAGAGCAGGGTGTCAGAGCCCAAACAAGCTGAGAAGGGCATCCACCTAAGGGTAGCTAGATCTTGATATTGAAATATCGTTTTCTATGAAAAGGAACCAGAGCTCCCTGGAGAGTGGCTGACTTCCGGATAAAGATGAGAAAATACAGATCTTCTGATAGAAATTAAGGAAGTACTCAGAAAATGACAAGGACATGCCAAAAAGAAATAGTCCAGATTGAAAGGACTCCCACTGGCCAGAGCTGGGTAAGGTGAGCATTCAAATAAACAATGACAGTAACAGATTATAACCCATTGAATAAAGCAGGAATTCATAAATCTATGTTGATGTAAAAAATAAATTAATAGATTGAAATTTTGATGTGATATGGGATTTGTACATGGTTTCAAAGTTCTGCCCTATAAAACAATTAATTACAAAGGTGAAAAGAGTAACTTTACAGTGGAGAAGCCTTGCAGACACCATTGGGAGTGATTCAATTTACCACCAGTAATGGGACCAATTGAAATCAGTGCCACTTAATAGAATACAACAACACAGCAACACTTCTATGATTTTCCAAAGGTACATACCCTAAATCTATTCAAGAGGAAACATCAACCACACCCAAGTTAAGGGACATTCTACAGAATAAATGAACCATAATCTTCAATGTCAAGGTCACAAAAATCAGTGAAAGACTAAGAAGCTATTACAGATTGAAGGAGACTAAAAGGTCATAACAACTTAATGCAATATCTGTGAATCTGGCCTATGTCTTTCTGCTATTAATGACATCATTGGGACAACTGGCAAAATTTGAATGGAATCTTAGGATGAGATGAAAATGTATCCATGATAATTTCCTGGTTTTAATGGTTAGATTGTGATTATATAAGAGAATGCCCTTGCTTCAAGGAAAATAAAAGGATTAGGGGGTGATGAAATATCATGTTGGCTATTTACTCTCAAATGATTTAAGAGGGAAATTCTTTGTATAATACAAGCAGCTTTTCTGTGAGTTTGAGGCTGTTTCAAAACAATCTTAAAATTAAAAAATTAAAAGTAGATTCAGCTCTCAGCTACCGAAGAAAGCATCAGTATGAGCAACTAGGAGTAATAAGGCTAGTCCTGCCTGAATGAATAGTAGATATACTCCTCACACTATGTTCAGTAGGAAGAATACAGCATAATGGTGTTGGGATCTGTCTGGGTTCAAATCCCAACTTCAATAATTATTGCTTAGGGATGTAAAGTACAGCATAGGGAATATAGTCAATAATATTGTAATAACTATATATGATGCCAGGTGGTTGGTGGAAATACTGAGGGGAACATTTTGTAAAGTATATAATTGTCTAATCACCATGCTATACACCTGAATATATTACAAAATAATATTGAATGTAAACTGTAATGGAAAAATAAATTTTAAAAAAGAAAAGAAAAAAGAAGTTACTTACTGTGTAACCCAATTAATTTTTTTCCTAGTTCTCAGTTTCCTTTCTGCTTAAATGGGTATCAAGCCAGAAAATACTTTCTGAGTACCTATTATGTATCAGGCACTGTTCTAGATTGTGTAAATACTGCAGTGAACAAAACCTGTTAGGTGTTTGCTCTCACAGTGTTACATGCAGATGGGGAGAGGTTGTGCTTTGAACAACAGTTTCTATAATACCTCATAAAGTGGTGTAAGGCTTACATGAGATAATAAGTGTAAAGCATTTACAAAATCCCCTGACACATGGCAAGTGAAGAATTCATATTAACCATCACTATTGATGTTAATCAGCAACATTATAGAATATTGTCTATGGTCTATCTTTATATCCAATACAGAGCCCAAGTGCTTCTGTCAGTAATCAGTATTCTGTTGAAGAGCCAGATACTCCCTAGTGGGCTCCTGTACCATTATCCTTCATTGCATCAAACTTGTCCACTGCCCATCCTTCCTAATGTAATGTCACTGCTGGGGAAAAAAAGGTGCCCACATCCAAAAAAAAAGAAGCATTAAAGCAGATGCATAAAAGAATCAAGTGCCTTATATATGCTCTATGCCACCAAGCACAGCTTTGACAAAAAACCAGTGTTAACAATGTGAAGGCTGACCAGCCTATGCCCAAAGCTTTTCATCTCAATACCACTTTGCCTTTGCTTAACTCCTAAAGAATTGGCCATCGGAAATTCGTGCTGTATCCTCTTGGATAAATATAAGTCCCCAAATCTCTCACAGAATATTTCTGGTCACACTCCTGGAGCAGTAAGAAAAGGGTGTCTGAAATAGGAAAAAAGCAGTAAATAGAAAACAGTAGGAAGTTGACCTGTCCCCGAACGGTTTCTGCAATGACACTTCTGGCAGAAGCTTCCAGTTCTCCGTTGAACTCGTCCCCCAACATCCGAAGGCGACCAGCAATGATGGCCACGTCAAAAGAGCAAGCCTCTCCTAAAACAGAGGGACACAATCCACAATCACATTTGTCACAGTGTTTGAGGGGAGGGCAAGTCCTTGGAATCCGAGCATTGAAGAAAGTTCTCCAGAATTTTAAACAATTTGGGCATCATTTTCTCCCGAGAACATCTTCAATGTTCTGTCCACACCAATAGTCAGAAAGTCTCCCTTCACTGAGAATCCATTTCCCTTCCATGAAGATGCAGGTATTGCCCAGCCGGCTGGCTCAGTGGTTGAGCGTCAACCTATGAACCAGGAGGTCACGGTTCAATTCCCAGGCAGGGCACATGCCCAGTAGGGGGCATGCAGGAGGCAGCTGATCCATGATTCTCTCTCATCATTGATGTTTCTCTCTCTCTCTCTCCCTCTCTGAAATCAATAAAAATATATTAACAAAAATAAAGATGCAGGTATTGCTGAAAGCTTAGAGTTTGCCTATTGAAACTTAAATGGAAATAAGAAAACATACTTCCATTCTCCTATGGCCCTGCAATCACCACTGCAGGCCAGGAGCCTTACCTGAATCTGTTTCAAGTTCACATTCACCACATAGGTCCCGGTTAGTCACCTTTGAAGGTGCGCCTAATAAGTCTCTGAGTAGAAAGTCCATGATGCATTCTGTTTGCTCCTCAAAGGTTTTGGGTGTCTTCATTTTAGAGATTTGCTGCCAAGTTTTGTTTTTCCACCAAACAAGCAATTTTCAGTTCAGTGGGAAGTCAGAAACACTGGTAAATGAGCAGGTGTGTTTATCTCTTGTAAACCCTAATGGGACACAGAGTCCTTAGAGCCTTTCTCACCAACTTTCTTCAAAAACAGGTGCTCAGATATGTGGGACTGCTCTGAAGAGCTTACCATCCAGAACTGGGAGATATGCTGAAGACTTTCAGTTCCTTTTCTCAGAACCACACCCTCAGCAGTATATCTAAAGTTAATGAATAGCTGTATAGTTAGGTTGCCAATTTTGCACTGAGATAGAGTTGAGGAAGAGCCTCTTGTGTAATTTCATTAAGAAATACTTCCTTTGTGGTCCTTAAAGAAGAAAGGTTCTGAAGCTTAACAGAAAGGCATTCAACTCCTAATTATTTGCCAAAATCACAGTGATTATTTACTGAGTAGCTATGTGTAAGGAACTATACTTGGCACTATAAATAACACAGAACAATGACAGAGACAAAGTCCCCGTCCTCATGGAGCTAAAGTGTACTTTAGCATGAGTGACAGATGTTAAATAAGTAACCACATAATTGCTGTGATTATTGGGATACAGTGTGTTATCCTATATAATAAAAGGCTAATATGCAAATTGTCCCCTCCACCAGGAGTTCAACCAGGAGTTCAACCAGGGGGCAGAGCTGGCTGGCCAACCGCCCTCGGCCCCTCCCCCCAGCCTGCCCAGCCCAATTGGCCCTGATCGGGCCAGGCTGGCCAGACCCCACCTATGCACAAATTCGTATACCGGACTTCTAGTTAGTGTATAAATGGAAAACAAACCTAAGGGGTTAGGAAAGCTTCCTTGAAGTAGTAATATCTGAATGAGCACTGAAGGACAAGTTGTATTCATTTTAAAAACACATACACATACACACACAACTTGGGCATTTGAGGCATTGTAAATGGAGATAATACAAAATATTTCACAAGGATTAAGTAAGATAATGTTATGTGGAATGACCCAGCAGTGTCTGACATGCAGTAAATATTAAATGTCTTCCTTTCAGCCCAAGGCCCAATGACCAGGATGAAAGGGATCTGGGATTTACTCTTTAACAGGATTAAGTAGGATTTTCCTAAAAGGGTTAGACTCCCCCACTGTTTTACAAGGTCTCAGGATTGGACACTTGCCCACAGTGGCTTCCTTCTTAATGCAGCTACACCTAGATATTGGGTTTGGGTCCCAGAAGCAGCACACAAACCTATCAGCTCTTCTGGGGTGTTCTGACCTGGTGAACTAATAAGAGATTCAAGCATGAACAGTAAGGCCGTTGCTCAGAATGGAATTTCTGTCTTGCAAAATAATCAGAGCCAGTCTTTTGTTTTCTATTTCATTCTATAAAAACAAATGATTCTATACTGCTTTGCACTAGAACGGGAACTAGGTAGCTAAAGAGCCATTTTCATTTGTCATTATCTATCTCCAGGGTTGAAATGTTAGTTACTACTAAGTAGGCTTCAGACCTCTAGGGTCAGAAGGTCCCTCACAGATAATTTGAGATCTTGCTCCCAGCATATGTCATCAGTTTGGCTCAAATAAACTCTTATTGAAAAAAAAGAAGAAGAATGTCCCTCAGAGATAATTCTAGGCCAATCTCCTTTCATAAACAATCTAAGGATTCCAACACATACATTTACAACATACTTTTAAAATAATATACAAAACAAAAAATGTGTAAAATAGCTTGCCTAAGGTAAGTGGTAGAATAGAAACCAAGTCTCAAATAGTAAACCTTTTCCCACCTTCCTCATTTCACTACTGATATGCTTATGGGCAAATGCCATTTGTGGTCTCTAATCTACACTAATAAAAGAGAAACATGGTAATTAGCGTACGACCGCTACCCTTTTCATTGGCTAATCAGTGAGCATATGCAAATTAACTGACAACCAAGATGGCGGCTAATTTGCATATGTCGCCTCCAAGCCACAGACTGAGGCTTTAGGCCTGGGTCAGGGAGGAGCCAGCCAGCGATC